AATCCAAGAAAGAGCCATTGGATTGCAATAAATAGGGTTCTAGGGCATTTAAGATATATCATAAGTTATGGATTGTATTATTCAAGATATCCAACAGTACTTAAAGAACACAGTGATGCTAATTGGATATCAGATATGAATGATTTTAAATCCACAAGTGGCTATGTCTTTACTATTGGAGGAGGTGCCATATCTTGGAAATCTTCAAAACAAACTTGTATTGTCAAATCTACTATGGAATTTGAATTTATTGCTTTGGATAATGCTGGAGAGAAGCTGAGTGGCTTCGAAATTTCTTAGAAGATATTCCAAATTGGCTTAAACCTGTGCCTACAATTTGTATACATTGTGATAGTCAATCAACAATTGAAAGGGCACAAAATAATATGTATAATGGTAAGTCTCGACATATACGTCGAAGACATAATACCGTTAGATAATTGTTCTCAAGTGGGATAATCTCAATAGATTATATCAGGTCTAAAGATAATTTAGTGGATCCGTTTACAAAATGTTTGACAAAAGAGTAAGTGTATAGTTCATCTAGGGGAGTGGGATTAAAGCCGAAAGCTAACCAGTCATTTTAATGGAAAACCAACCTAGTTAACTGGATCTCAAGATCTAGGTTCAAAGCAACAATAGAAATTTTGAATGACTCACTAAAAGTACTGGGAAGATTTAATCTTCTACCTATTTATATGATGAGACGGTGCTACCTACAGCGAGGATTAGGATAAGCTATGCTTTTAATGACTCTTATATCTTGAAAATTCAAGTGGGGTATGGTAGAACACTCTTAATAAGAGGTCACCTACATGAGTGTGAAGTGGGGCCGCTTCTAATAAACTTCGAAGGCTAAATTTTCTGAAGCACTTATAAAATACCAGGAGTTATTCAGGGCCATATGAACATAACCGTGAGAACCGACTTTGTGCGGAAGGGAACTGTGTGTTTGCTATTGTCTTGGTTTACATCAACGGCTGAACAGTTCAAGACATTATGTTCACTAGTTAGCTAGTAAATCTGATAGTATTACATTAAGGAAGGTTCAAGGCCAAAAGTTACCTATCTTAATGCAGTAACTTTCCAATAGTACTCTCTCTAGTGTACGCATTTTCTTCGTTTGCAATTGACACCAATTTTCATTCATGTAGGGGATTGTTGGAATATGTGAATGAAATTTGCTTGCAACTTTTAAGTTAGAAAATCCAACCACATTATTTTAACAACATGAATGTGATTCTGGTTCATGTATATCACGTTAAAAACTACTACAACGTATATGTGGCTGGTTGTTATATCTAATGTGAAGTGTTGTATGATGTTACATACAGAATGCTATAGGTGCAAAAATATTCTATAACTTATCGGTTCTTTAATGTATTTTGGGAAACAAGAAGAACTAAAGAGGCATGACAATTATAGGCTAAGAGACATGCCTATTAGTATATGGCAGTTGTAAAGACTGAAACATTACAACCTTTGGAATCATATTGTTTTGGAAATAGTGCAACATTTGCGTATGGTTGTGTCTGTTGTGGAAAGGCACCTAGTTGCCTATAAATAACCTCACATGTTCATTTGTAAAATACTCCAATTCGGAATACTTCTTCTCCTCTTCTGAATTCTCTCTCTCTCTTCTTGCATTCATATAGTAATAGAGTCAGTCTGAGTCTAGTTTATACAAGAGAGTACTATACCGAGCCGGTTCGCCTAATTTTTCGATTTGCAGTGTTACTACCGAAGGAAGAAAAGTCGTTGTATCTTGGGAGATAGACGTCACTGAATCCGTTAGCATTATAGCGTGGCAAATATGTCTTAAGGATATAGAATCCAATTATAATCTCGACTTATTATCAAGTTTATTTTTTTATAATTTTTTTCTATTATACATAATTATATTTTATAAAAAATTATATATATAAATTATTATTTTATAATAATAATTATATATATACACATATTATATTTTTGAATAGTAATATTATAATATTTAAATAGTAATATTATAATATATGACATACTTGTACCATATTTTGGATGACATTTTTCACGTACATTTTTTTAATGTTAACCATTTTCTTTATACATTGATGTGACCTATCTTATTTTTTAATATTAATTTAATGCGACCTATTTTAATATTCATTTGCTGAGGTAGGGGTTGGGTTGGCGAGTGGACTGGAATTATTGAAAAGGTAGGTCCATGATAATTACTTATATAAGTCACATGAGTCAATTAGGTACATTTTACTCTTTTTATTTGATGTGATCTACAACTTTTTAATATTAATTTGATGGGACCTTTATTAATATTCATTTGAACCGTGGCTTTAGAAATTTTTTTTTTGAAAAATATTTACTTATTTATTCATCTACTTAAAAATTCAACAATCATCCTTCTATCTTAAAAAATAAAAATATATCTCTAAATTAAAGCATTTCATTTAATTTTTGGGTTTTTATAGTAGTATTATTTTTAGTACACTTGAAGTATGTAATAATTGACAAAGGGTTTAACTTGCTTTTAAATAGTATAATCCAATTATTTAACTATCCCAACTTTTTGGAAACATGACTCATTTTCCTATAATTATGATTTCGTATATCAGTGTTGCTATAGTAAATTTGTAATTATCAAATTTTTACTACTTCTGCTCGACGTTAATGACCATAAGTAGGGACAACTTTACTTATAAAAATGGTTTCGTAAGCGTATCTACTAACATTTGAATCTCCAACATTTCATATTCTAACCGAATATAATTTTTTTTAAGCTGCCAAAACAGGTTAGAGAATCGTTTGAAAAAGTCAAGTATTTGTGTCATTTTACATCTTTGACACCATGTGCCTTATGAGTGAAAGACGAAACTAGGGCTTCAAACCGGATAGGTTGAGGGAGTATAGCTTGAGTCCAATTTACTATATGAAATGTTAAACTCAAGTCCAAACCCAAACCCAAATCCAAATCCAAATCCAATCCTAATTCTATCCCTAACCCTAACTACTCAACACATCCTTTTATTTTTAAATTCGAACTTGCAACTCAAGCTTACATTCCCCCAAAAATTTAATATGACCTTGAATTATAATTTGATTATTATTATTATTTTTTTTGCAAGGCAAGAATGTTAATATGTTGATGGGGTGGGGATTTGAATGTGGGCCAAAGGCCTCAAACCCCAAATGCCCTACCACTGGGGTATCACGCCACACTTAATTAGTTTTAAATTAAATTATTCTTAAGTAAGAAAATGTTTAAAGACATTTTGTAAATTTTTAATAAATTACAAACAAATTCTTAGAAAATTAATTTTTCAAAATGTTAACATACAGTAAGTTAAGATTTAAAAAATGAAGTTGAAAAAAAAAAAGGTAATCATAATTTTAATATTATGTATAATGTATTTAAAAGCAAAAATATATATGAAAATAATATTAAAATTCGAGTTCGAGTTGGCTCGGGTTGCTAGCATATTAACCCAAGTCTAATCATAATTAAATTCGGGTTAAGATTTTTCAACTCACACCCAACCCTAATTGTAAAAATGATTCAAATTCTAAAAAATCGGACTGGACTTGAGTTGCCTAACGTACTCAAGTTGTACTCCTAAACGAAACAAACATTTGTAATATGAGTTATAGTAATTTTTGAAAGGTGTTTCAATATAATATTTATCCAAAACTTTAAGAATGTCGCTGAAATTAATCTAATTTTAAAATATGTATGATCTACAAATTTTTATTTTTTTTTACAAGATAAGAAGGGTTAGAAGTTAGATTAATAAGTACAAATAATCGAAGTCTGGCAACACTCCCAAAATCTATCTAAAGCACTAATTACTAAATTATCGAGATATCTATAATCTACAAATTTAAAAAAACATATATACAAAATTAAAATATACAAAGTAACAAAAATTGAATAGAAATAACTGTCCTGCTGGATCGGTGTAACCCTGTCAGTACCATAGGCTGGCATGTTTATAAAGTCAATGATAATAACTTATTTTATTCACTTTAACCAATTTGAATTGGTACAAAGTTTCTACCTTACATTTTTCTAACATTCACCGAACCATTTTCTTTATCCATTGACGTGACCTACCAATTTTTTAATATTAATTTAATGTGACCTATTTTAATATTCATTTGCTGAGGCTTTTTTTTAATATGAATTTAATGTGACCTATTTTAATATTCATTTGCTGAGGTGGGGGTTGGGTTGGGGAGTAGACTGGAATTATTGAAAAGGTAAGTCCTTGATAATTACTTATTTAAGTCACATTAGTCAATTAGGGACGTTTTACTCTTTTTATTTGATGTGATCTACAACTTTTTAATATTAATTTGATGGGACCTTTATTAATATTCATATGATAATGGTGACTTTAGAATTTTTTATTTTTTTTTAAAAAAAAACATTTATCTATTTACTCATCTATTTAAAAATTAAATCACCAACGTTCTATTTTAAAAAAGAAAAATATACCACTAAGTTAAAGCATTTCCTTCAATTTTAAAATAAAAATATACCACTAAGTTAAAACATTTCCTTCAATTTTTGGTTTGTTATGGTAGTACTATTTTTAATACACTTGAATGATATAATAATTGACAAAGGGTTTAACTTGCTTTTAAATAATCTAATCTAATTATTTAACTATCCCAAATTTTTGTAATTAAGGTGCATCACAACTTTTTGGAAACATGATCCCTTTTTCTATAATTTGTATAGATATTAGTGTTGCTATTGTAAATTTGTAATTATCAAAATGTCACTTCTTCTGCTCCACATTAAAGTGGCGACAACTTTAGTTATAAAAAAAGGATAAGACGTCCATCCCAACCTGTTTTGGCAGCTAAAAAGAAACACTCTATTCGCTTAGTGTTGCTATTGTAAATTTGTAATTATCAAAATTTCACTACTTCTGCTCCACATTAAAGTGGTGACAACTTTACTTATAAAAAAAGGGTTGGTTTCCTAAGTCCAAAATGTACCAACATACATTTGAATCTCCAACATTTCATATTCTAAGCGAATAGAGTGTTTCTTTTTAGCTGCCAAAACAGGTTGGGATGGATCCTCTTATCCAGAGATTGAATGTTGCTGCTCAAGATGGAAGTATCGAGGAGGTGTACGCAGTGATTGGTGAAAAGCCGGATGTATTGGAGGAAATTGATAAGAAACAGTTTGTTCAAACTCCTCTTCACATAGCTGCATCTGCTGGGCGTGCCCATTTCGCCATTGAAATTATGAACTTAAGGCCATCGTTTGGTCGGAAGCTAAATCCAAGTGGGAAAAGCCCTCTGCACCTGGCTGTCCCCTTGAGTCTGCCTGTGCTACCCACACCAGATCAAATTGAGACTGAGAAACGGCAAACCGAAACTGCGATAAGGCTCATCAACATTGATAGCGAGCTCATCCGTGTCCAAGGGAGGGACATGATGACACCGTTGCATTACGCAGCTGAAAGAGATAAATTCGATCTCGTGGCTGAATTTCTGTGCGCCTGTCCAGCATCTATCGAGCATTTGACGATCCGAGGTGAGACGGCTATGCATGTTGCGGTGAGAAACAGCAGCCTAAAAACTTTTCAAGTCCTCTTGGGATGGTACCGCAAGGTTGAAAATAATATGTGGAAAAATCCCTCCCTTCTGAGTTGGAAGAATGAAGATGGTGACACACTGTTACATATCGCAGCATCCTCTAACCAATCTCAGGTTTAACATCTCTCTTTAATTTGCTCAATTTTAACATTTAGTGGTAGCTAATATATAATATTTAATAGACAGCCTATTGGAGATTTTTATTTAGTTCAACAAATAAATTATGAAAAATTAATTTAGAACGTAAAGACAGAAAAACATATTACTAGTATGTATCTTGGGCATATACTCTTTTTTTACTAATTAACCAAGGGCACCTTTAAAGGGGTAGGGGTAGACCTGTCAATGGAGCGGATCCTAATCCGATTAATATGGATTGAACAAAAAATTCGATAACCCGATAAAAATCCGATCTGACTAAAATTATATATATATATATATATATATATATATATATATATATATATATATCAATAATTTTACATATTTATATTAATACTCCTGTTAGAATTGTATTAGAGGTAACACAAAAAAAAAAAAAAAAAAAAAAAAAAAAACTCATAATGTTATATATGCAATAGTGTGATATTCTTATCTAAATGCTAATAAATCTCTTAATATACATATTAATAGTGTGGTGTTGTCATCAATGTTATATATATTACTTATATATTACTAAATTTATATATATTAATTATTTATCATTATATTCATTTGGTTGCATAGTTATATTATGTAGCATTTACATATTAACAATTATCCACTTTATCTAACGTTATAATCATATATGTTAGTAAATATTATTTTAATTCGAATTTGAATTCGATTTAATTCGAATCCGAACTAAATAGGATATGGATGGGGACATTCAGTCCGAGAATTATAGTACGTAGGGATTCTTTCAATATTTTTAGTATATTTCTTTAAAAAAAAGAAGATCTTGAAAAAGTACAAACAAAATATATGGTACGTGTTTAGTGTGGATATTTTGTCGAATTATAAGTCTAATATTCCGTATTATTTAAGTACGTAGTGCTTGAAAGACTTTTTTTACTTTTTTTTCCCCCTGTTCTTAGCTCACATCAGTTCTGTCATAGCAGACAGAACAAGGTTCATGGGCAGCTCTCTATTGTCGCTTAGGGACAGAGCTACGTGTAGTTCATATATATATATATATATATATATATATATATATATATATATATATATTTGTAATTCACCCTAATTTATTTATTTTTTTCAATTATACATCCATAAAATATTACCATTATTCTTTGAAGTTACTAAAAAAATTTAACTGTTGCCCCCAACTTATTTTCCGCCCCTGCTTTTACTTACAGTTTCTTTAATTAATTTGTGATTATTGACTGATTGATGCATTTTTGGGACTATATATATATATGTGTGTATTCAGATTGTGAAGTTGTTGATCAAGCGTAGAGTGAACATGAATGAGAAGAATTTAGAGGGTTGGACGGCGCTTGATTCAGGTTACAACCACCAAGAAGTAAAAGATATTTTAATGGGTGCAGGAGCTTCAGGAGGTGTATCTGTTAGTAATTCCAATAAAGGATTTGCATATCATTACATTAGAATGGCGAATATTATATTGAGAACAGAGGCTGCAAGACTTGAATCTGTTAGTGATTCGACTAGTCTCGCAGACTTCATGAGGGGGCTTGTGCTCGTTACTCTAGCCAGGGGTTTGTCAGAAGAGATGCGCAAAGTGGTACAAGTGGTGGCTGTGCTTATTGCAACGGCTACCTTCCAAGTTCCACACAACCCACCAAGTACTGGTCATCCATTCAAGTATGTGGTCAGTCATCCATTCAAGTTTACTATCAACTTGTCGTTTCCAACTTTGCTGCAAATCCTTGTGGTGTTCAATTCCCTAGCATTTTTCACATCAATCGGAGTGATAGCTTATACCCTCCGAAGTGGGTTTGTGAATCAGGTGCTCCAAGTATGTCTATTTTTTCTGACATTAACCTACATCTTTTTGGTGGCTACCCTGCAGCCATCACCGGGTGAACATCATGTTGCCTTCATTGCATCTTTCGTCATGTTTGTACTTCTTTACCTAATTATCTTTCGCAAGATTCTTCAGTCTCGGTGGGAAAATAGGACTTTTTCGGTTTTGTCAAAAGCCAGGTTTAACCCTTCTCGCTTCTATGACATGCGTAACCAAATGGTCGACTGGTTATGAGGTATTCAAGGATTCCGTGCGCGCGCGCGTATATATATATATATATATATATCAGAAATGATCTCTCTTGTAGACTGGTGATTAATAAACTTATCCACACTATGACACTATGTATTATTGTGATAGATGAATGTCATGGTTTTGTTTTTTTCTTTTTTCTTATTTGGTAACCTTCTTTTATACTTTAATTGTATTGGATCGTGCATGTTGAGAAAATTTTGTTATATATATCTATATATATATATATATGCGCGCAAACCCATCTTCAAAGATCACCTAGAAAAATTTAGTGGCATGTGAATATAAGGTTTTACACCTATAAAAAATCTATAAAAGTACAAATTTTCTGGTAAAATAGACTATAAACAAATTAAATATATTAATATTGAAAACACATAAAATAAAACCTAGTCTTGGTACTTTATAAAGAGTACCATCCAATTTATATCTATATAAAAAAATTAAAATAAATATTCAACACAACCTAGTTACAAAAATTAAAATTCAACTTCATATCAAAGTAAATATGATTATCTTATATTTTGAGCTGCAAAATTATCAATTAAAGTGCACTAATCAAGTTTCTTCAATATTGTCGACAGTAGGTAAAATATGATCAATCTCAACTTTGAAAAACTTCTTATACAACCGTATATATAATTAGGATAGTCAATAATACTCTACGTGCAATCTAAATATTTGAAAAATAATAACTTAACCTTTCTATAAAATCATATACTTCAATTGCCTTTTTGTTCCTCTTGGTAAAGTTTAAGACTTGTAACTCAAAAAATAATTTCGTCTTCTCAATATCATAAACTATGTTATATTTTAGGAGATGTTATGGGGTTATTTTGGAAAATGTGACAGTTGATTAAAATTTTGGTTGTTTGGACTGGGCTTAACGGAAGTGCCCAAAAATAATATAATAATAAAATAGAGTTTAAATATAAAAAAATTCCTTTTTTCTTTTGAAGGGAGGGTATAGAAACAAATTATTTATTGCCATAAATTTACATGATATATAACTATGGATCCAGATCCCCTACTGTGGTGGAAATCATTGGATCTATCATGTGCCTTAAAACGTTGACGTTTAGAGGTATAATTATCAATCACTTAAAATTAATTAAGGTTGTATTTGCCCATTCCTTTGAATAGCCCGTATTGTTTTTGGAATACTAATCAACCCTCAAAATAAATCAACGTGATGAAAATTAATTGAAAAAAATTAAAGAATTTTCAACAGAGAAAAATAATGAGTGATTATATATATATATATATATATATATATATATATATATGTTTTGATTCAAGAGTGTATTTACGTGGATATATCTATTCTTATTCAAATTAGATATATATATATATAGGTTTAGGTGCACAATCTTACCAAAGTATATGTGATCTATAAATATGGTGGTTGGTAAAGAGGGGGGCAGTGGTAGAAGGTTGAGAGGGGAGGGGTTATGGCCATGGTCAAAGGGTGGAGATGGCCATGGTCAAAGGGTGTGGTGTAAGAGGTGGAGAAAATAGATATGGAAGGAGAGAGATGTGAAAGAAAATAAATCTAATAATTAATGGTAAGTTTTTTATTTTTTAAAAGGTTATGATAAGGGTGAGATGTTGTGCCTCAAAATGTTGTAATTTTTATGCACGGGACAAAGTCACAAAATCATAGGACCTCCTCAACAGGAGGGGATCCAAGTCCATATAAGTATATATTGTATTTTAATTATGGAAATTATGACCTCTATGTGAGACATATATTTGCACTATGATCCTAACGTTGATGCATTTTGATAAAGTTGGCCTACTCTCCACCCCTACACACATACACTGTAATGACCCAGATTTTTCGAATAAATTTTTTCCTTTGTTTCTTCCCTTTTGAGTTTGGTTTCTTGTCGATTAGTGTCGACTCAAGTGCTCTGGAGTGATTTCTGAGATTCTTTTCTTTGGATTGACAACTTCCTTTGAGGACCGAGTCATTTCCGTATTTTTTTCGTTTTATGACACTATTCACTTTTTGTCTTTTCCCTATTTTGTCTTTTTCCCTATTTCGTCTTTTCCTCGTTTGTCACTCTGTTTGCGTAACTACAATTCTTGTGTTCGGAGTTGGTTTCTGACTTCACGTATCTTAATTCTCAGTGGTTTCCATGAGATACGTATCCTTACTTTCGTGAGAAAGTACTCTGGTTGCTCCCGGTGCCCATAGGGGCATAAATGTAAAGTTCTTTGAAAACATTTCATTTTCTTGAGGTGTTTTTCGTAAATATCTTTTGAAGATATTTTATTTCAGGGTTATCTAAGAAAATATCTTTTAGAAGATATTTTCATTCTTGGGCAGTTCGCAGTTTTCACTTTTTGGAGGGACCATTGTGCAATTAATGAAAGTTATTGCTCAATGCCTTGTTTTGAGCCTGGATCCTCGTACGGGATTCATTTTCACATTTCGTCGAGTCGTGGACTCTTAGAATTTCCTCCTGGACGATGTTTTCCAATTTCAGGGTTTTTGGCCCCGGTTTGCGTCAAACTTGTTTTGGGCATAACTCTCTGCTCGGGATTCGATTTTCGACGTCGTTTCTTCCGTTGTTCATATTTTCTCATTTGGAATCTTTTTTGTTCATAGAGTTTTGCCGTTTGAGCGCGTCTGCTCAAATTTCACTTTTCCGGACCCGGCGGGGCCCATTCGGGGCACTTTTTGAGTTTTTCTATAAATAGGGGGTCTTTAGTAAAAAAATCAGATTTCACTCTCTCTCTCCCCTCTCTTGGCCGGATCTCTTGGCAGCCATGACTGCCATCTTCTCTCTCCTCTTTTGAGCTTCTTCACTTAATTAAAAAGTGGTGATGGCTTTATGTTTATTGTTCCCTTCGGCGAGGCCTTTGATTCCAACCGATTGGAATCTCGTTTTGGCCATTCCTTGAGTTTGGGTTTGAAGTCAAGTTGTGTTTTTGACGGGGCTTCCTTGGGATTCATGTTCGTGGTGTTGTCCCCGATAAAACTTAAGAGTTTCGTCGGATTCGGAGCCGATTTATTTTGGTGGGGATTTGAGATCAAATAGAGGTAGGAAATGTTTTAGGCTTTTGTGTGTGTTGTATTGAGTGTTTAGCATGATTATACAACTTATATGTGTGCCTTGTATCAAATTTAGAAAGTTAGTAATTTTTAATTCTTTGTATAAGATTTAAAATTCATGATGATATATGACTTTGATTTGAATTGTGGCATGGTAGAAAATATTGTTTTAATATGTTGGTTAACATATATTAAATTTGGATTAATTAAATAAGAATTGTTCTTTTTAATTAATATTCATCTTTTGTGAAAGATTAAAGTTCATGGCCGTACCTTACATGAAATTGAGTTGTATTATGCTTCTAAATTAAGTTTTGGCATGTTTGTTAACATACTTTAATTTGAGAGCATTTGGTTGAGTTTGGAAATCTAGATACGTTAATTAAGAGAATTAATTAAAATCTATTTTGTGGTTTCATGGGCTTAATTAAGCTTTTGTGTGAATATATGTAATGACCATGATATGTCTTTCATCATATATTAAATTACACTTAAACCAATTACACTTAAACCATTAATGCCAATTAAATAATTAAAACACTAACAAGTAATTCCAATTAAATAACTAAACCAATTACACTTAAACCATTAATGCCACTTAAATAATTAAAACACTAACAAGTAATTCCAATCAAATAACTAAAAATAAATATCATTTAAATAAATTAAATCACCACAAAAGAAATAAATTAAATCACCACAAAAGAAAACAATTAAGCACCTAAAAAAAAAAAATAATGACACATAATCAAATAAAATGCACTTAAATAGTAAATTAAATACCAGGAATATCCTTTTTAAAATTAGGGGTATTACATTCTTCCCCCCTAACAAAAGGAATTTCGTCCTCAGAATTCACTCTTACCTTCTTCCAATATTTCAGGAAACCGTGAGTGAATGACATCCTCTCGTTCCCAAGTGGACTCAGACTCATTGTGATGACTCCACTGAACACGAACCAAAGGAATAACCTTATTACGAAAAATCTGATCTCGTCGGTGGACAATACGACACGGTGGCTCTAAATAAGTTGCATCCGGCTGCAACGCAATCTCCCCAACATCGATATGCTGATACCGATCCTCATCTCGAAGAAATTTCCGCAACATGGAAACATGAAACACGTTGTGGACGCGATCCAAAGTATCCGGAAGTGCCAACCGATAAGCAATAGCTCCAATGCGATCCGTAATCATGAATGGACCAACAAATCGCGGTGACAACTTCCCTTTCTTCCCAAAGCGCATAACACCCTTCATAGGAGACACTTTGAGTAGAACCTGATCCCCAACCTGAAACTCCAAAGCCCGAGTACGACGATCAGCATAGCTCTTCTGCCTACTTTGGGCAGTACGCATGCGATCTCGAATAAGAGCAATGTTTTCAGAGGTATCCTTGATGAACTCAGGACCTAAGAATCGATTCTTTCCAACCTCCATCCAACAAACAGGTGACCGACACGGTCGACCGTACAATGCCTCAAATGGTGCCATACCAATAGTCTTCTGGAAACTATTATTATAAGCAAACTCCACAAGTGGCAAATATTCCTCCCAGTAGCCCTTGAAATCCAAAACACACGACCGAAGCATATCTTCCATAATCTAATTCACCCTATCAGTCTGTCCGTCAGTCTGAGGATGATAAACAGTACTAAGGTGTAACTCCATACCTAAAGCCTGCTGAAAACTCTTCCAAAATCCAGATACAAAGCTCGAATCCCTGTCTGATATAATAGACAATGGAATGCCATGTAGCTTCACAATCTCTGAAATGTAAAGCCTCGCCAACTGCTCCGAAGTGTAGTCAGTGCAAATAGGAAAGAAATGAGCTGACTTGGTCAACCTATCCACAATGACCCAGATGGAATTATGCCCCTTGAAAGAATTTGGCAACCCTTCCACAAAATCCATAGATATGCTCTCCCATTTCCACTCCGAAATTGGTAGTGGCTGTAGAGCTCCTGGTGGCCTCTGATGATCAATCTTAACCATCTGACAAGTACTACATTGAGAAACAAAAAGAGCAATGTCCCTCTTCATACCTGCCCACCAAAACTGTCGCTTCATATCTTGATACATCTTATCGCCTCCTGGATGAACAGAGAACTCAGAGTGATGAGTCTCAGTCATCACATCCTTCCTCAAATTATCAGCAGAAGGTACCACTAACCGTCCCTTGTACCTTAAACCTCCATCAGCCCCAACATAGTAGAATGGAACCTCTCCGGAAGCTATCTCTGC